GAGTGTGTGTGTGTGTACGTGTGTGCAGCAGATGTCCTGTGTTCTGTTCTGTTCCCCAGACTGGCTGGTCTTTGTTGCTGCTCCCTCGTGCAGACGGGCCTGGCCACGTGCTTCTCTGTCTGCAAGGACAAGCCACGCCTCCGACGCTTTAATCTGTCAATTGCAGCGGCCAAGTCCTGCCCCTAAAACACCCACAGTCTGGCAGGGTCCGCCTCCTTGCTTGATGACGCTGTTTTACTCACGCATACTTACCCTGCTCCCTTTTTCCTCTCTCACTCACACCTCCTCTGTCTATCTGCAGCTGTGCCATGAACACAGTCTACAAAATTGAGCAACACACTTCCTCCTCTTCCATCTATGTAAAAACCATCTCGCTCTCGCATTTTCTCTCTTGCTCTTGATATGCTGAGGGTTGCAATTTCCTTCCGGAAAAGTTTTCTTTCTTCCTCTACTTCCATACTGGGACAACAGTCACTTCTCCTCCGCAGAAACACCCAGAAACAAGAAGAAGGAATGTAGTGACGAGCAAAACAAGGGAGGGAGAGATCCAGCTTGGCAAGGGTTGAGTTTTAAAGAAAAGACTTGTGGGTTTATGATGAAATAATGTTCCTTCTATGGATGTTTTAATAACTGAATGGTATTTAACTAGGATGACATTCCAACAGCAATATTCAAAGTAGTAGTCAGTTTCTTTGTCGTCTCTCTTGAACTGAAAAACAAGTCTAACCTCTGCTCACAGGCAATCATTCATCCCAGACAGTCTTTCAGTTAAACAACCTGTACCACATTAAAATTACACTGTGTGCTTTATACATCTTTAATGACAAGTCCATATATGCTCATTTTGAATCCCTTTTGGCGAAAATGTGTCAATAGTCTGAGTCACACCTGATAAACCCGCACTCCCCCCTCAGCTCCCTCCTGCCTCTGACAAAAACAGCCAAGTTTTCGCCCTCTGGGCCAAAACTCCTTTCTGCTTTACGTTTAGTGTCAACAGTTGTGGAGCTGAGGAGAGTTTATTGCTATACAAAGTTCAACGGTTGATTGTTATCAGCGGAGGAAGAATGGCAGAATCAGTCATACTGACAGTGTTTGTGCATTTGTTTTTGATTTGTTACAGTGAAAACAGGATACCCTGACCAACTGCAAAGTACTGGTAACTTTGACTTGAAGACATTTCATCAGCTCTACATTGTTGTGCATAATAACAATGTTTAGCAAGGAACAGTATAATGAACCCACTACACATGCTTCCTCTGAGTCTGTGTTGTTTTTCCTGCCTCTCTAACCTGCATTAGTGTGCAGGGAGCTTGGTGACAGACAGATCATCTGTTACCAAGCTGCTGTTTGACTCATACAGTACATGCAGGACCCTTTGCAGCCTTTTACCGAGCCAACTGTGAGATGAATCAGTCTAATGACTGTGTTGCACAATGATAGCAATAAATGCTTTTAGTGTTTCACTAAACACAACAAAAAAAAACTTGCACAGACAAACTGTGCTGTGTATGTACAGACACACACTCCTATCACTTCCTGCCCTCCGAGGGACGCTGTTCCAGAACAGACAGGAACAAAACAACACACATTCAGACAGATTACCTTTGATTAGATTTTATGATCTCTCTCTATAGAGAAAGTTCTTATTATTTTTTAAATCCCTTTTTACTGAGACTGAAATTCACATCAAACATTTTACCATTTCATACATTTTTGAACAGAAAAGAAAAGAAAGAAAATTAAGATAAGATACGACTGACTGGTTTTATAATTTTCAACACTTTATATTTTATACACATTCTTAATCCCATATAACCCTCCAGTTTTACCTTTACATACAAATTTACATTCATTCATACACACAAAATTTAACAAAAACAATAAATGTAGGAAGAAAAAACTAAACAAAACAACATGCTGAAAACACTCTTACTCTCTCTCCCCCCTTTTTTTTACCCATGTACCTGTATATATCCTGTGCCACATCTTGTGCAATCACTGTTTACTTCTGTTGGAGTAGAGACTTGAAATATTCTAACAATGTAGCAAGTGAAAGAAACAAACTCGCGATGAAGCGATGAACCAAGAGGTTCTCTGGTTTGCACTTTCTATCATTTAAAGTCTAAACTAACTGGAAAGAAAGTTATTTTAAACCAGTAAGCATATTCTAGTTCTTATGATTCCTATAATGCCTATAATTCCCATGTACAGTATATTTCCCATTTTAAAAAGTCATTACGGATGTTTTCATAAGTACCATACATCACACACTCGGCCTCAGTTTGACAGAAAGGTGTGTATTCAAATATTGCTTGACCACATCACCTGTAAAAATCCTTCTCCCACTTGTTCAACCAAATTTGAATAGAATAAAACTCAGATAATTTTGAATTCATTTGTCCAGGGGTTTATTTCTTTGGTAGAAAGTAGTTCCAGTAAAAAAACGTTCACAGTTCGGTCTGTGAATGATCCTGACTAACCCAGGACATTGTTTCTGAGAAAACATATTTTTTAAACCCTATGAGCTTCCCCATAGTTTTGGGGGTGGTGACAAAATACATGGGGAAAATAAACCAAAACTATCTGCATGGCTTGATAGCACAGTTTGTATCGGTCCCTCTTATTTGCCTGGATCAACCTTAATATCAAATATTATGCGTGGTACCCACTTTTATCCACTATAGAAGCTGTACTACAGTTTGGTAGACAGTACGTTATTCCCTAGGTAAGCACCGTGGCTGTACTGCAGTGATGTATCCATTTCCAGTCAGATGCATCTTTGCAGTTTGTTTTGATGTCACTGCTCATGTGGCCCTGATGACCTCCCTCACCTCTCTGCTCAATGACCCCCCCTCTATCTGCAACTAAGTTTGGCAAGAGGAAACTGATATCCCTTCCTACTCTCTGTGCCCCCATATCGCACACACAAGTTGATAAACTTGTACACTGTGACGCTTCGGGCTTTCTCCACACGTGCATGTAGGAACAAACACAGACACACATGCAGAAAGTCAGTTAAAGATAAAAAGATAACCTTTACCGACGCAGACGTGTTGCTTCCAATACAGTCCAGTACAGAGCAACACTGCCCTCTACAGGTTCATTGGCTTAGAACTCACCTCTCTCTCTTTCTTATTGTGTTATGAACAGGAGGCCCATGCTTGCCTCATTCTTTAGTCATGTTAATATGACACCATGCTCACGTGTTCTTTCTAGAATTTTCTTTCTACATTAAAGGTCCAGTGTGTAACATTTGGGAGGATTTATTGGCAGAAAT